CAATGGCGGCCACCCTGCAACACAGCCAGCCCCCGGACCTGAGCAGCATCGTGCACCAGATCAACCAGTTTTGCCAGACGAGGGCAGGCATCAGCACTACCTCAGTGTGTGAGGGCCAGATCGCCAACCCCAGCCCCATTAGTCGCAGTCTGCTCATCAATGCAAGCACCCGGGTGTCGACCCACAGCGTCCCCACACCAATGCCTTCATGTGTGGTCAATCCCATGGAGCACACCCACGCGGCCACAGCCGCGCTGCCTGCAGCAGGTCCTGTCAACCTGCCCACAGGCATCTCTCGAGCCCCTACTGGCTACGCTAGCGACCTCAAGCCAGTTACCTGGAACCAGCACCAGCTGGCCCACCTACAGCAAATGTGCAGCGAGGCTGGTGGGACACCAGCCCCTGGCCTGACAGGCAAACATACAGCAGGACGCGAGTTGGCAGGGCCCGGTTTTGTGGGCAAGGCCCCTGCCTACCCGCAGGAACTCTGCCTGGCGCAGTCCTTCCATCTGAAGCCTTCCCTGGAGAAGCCGACCCCATCCCCACCTGTCAACGGCCTACCGGCCCCACTGGCCTATCCCAATGGTCACTACTTCCAACCCCTGTGGAACAACATCCTACCAACTCCCAATAGCGACAGCTCGGGGTCTCAGGACCTCGCCATGCCGTTCCATGCTGGGCAGCCCACAGGTGCACCCCTCGACTGTGCAGCAGCTCCTGGGGCCCACTACCGAGCGGGAACTGGGGGTGGGCCAGTGGCAAGCCAGAACAGCTTGATGCAAACGGTGGATTACCTGAGTGGGGATTTCCAGCAGGCCTGCTTCCGAGAACAGAGCCTGGCCATGTTGAGCAAGGCCCACCGAGCCCCTGGCACCCGAGCCCCCGATCCCACAGATAGTCGAAGTCTTCATATTCAGCACCCAGGGTATAGATAGGGAGCCGTGATGCCCTCCTCAGGCAACACGCCATACATCACCCTTCTAGGCTTAGTCTTACTTTGAAGTAACTGGATAGTTTCAAAGTTACACTGCTCCAGTGTGATCATCCTTAGATATCTAAGGAAGGGAACTTGGCAGGGTCCATTTGGGGGCAGAAGAAGGTCCTTTCTCCTCCCACGAGCTACTACTCCTGGTTTTCTGTTAGAAGCTAACTCTGTCTCAGCACCTGCTTGTCAGTCAGTCTCCACCTTGACCACTTGTTGCTCTTGCCATCTTTTGCTGAGATTGAGGTATGGCTGAGGAAAGTGGCCTAGAGCCTTAAGTTAGGCTTCTCTGTCTAGGACTAAGAAGCCAGACTTTCTGAGTGCTCTGGAATCTAATTCTTTACTCCCGTAAAGATGTCAAATGAAAATACACCCAGCTTCCATCTTCCCCAGCTGCTTGAGGCTTGGTTCTGCATTTACGCTGCTCCCAAGTCACTGTACTTGGCCTTGCTGAAGCCTTGAGACTCAGAAAACCTTGGCGTTGGCATCTTAATTTTTGACTTCCCTTCCAGAGAAATGCAGTGGCCACCTGGCATTCCCAAGACGACCTGTGACCTGTCGCTGTTGCCTCTCTCCAAACTCAACTGCTGTCCTCATCCCTGCCTCCCTTCCCCCTTAAGGGAAAAAAAAAGCAAAACAAAAACTACCTTACTTGAAGAATTAGATACAGGTAAAGGATGATCACATTAGAGTTTGGAATTAAAATCACCAAAAAAAAAAAAATTTAAAAAAGAAGTTAAACTGCATTTGGTTCTCTACACTGGCTAAGAATTATGGTCCACACTGTAAGTTTTAAATGTCATGTTTCTGTATGAATGTGGTTTGAGGAGCATTTTGTATGCGTGGCCCCACAGGTACACCCACTCTTACATTTTGCAGCCCTTCAGTTTAATGAAGAACAAAAAGAAAAACACAAAGCCTTAAGCTCTTCGAATTCTTCCTCTACCAAATGAGCATGGTTCTGAGCGCTGCAGAGGGGCTTACATTGGAAACAGCCCCTCTTGCCCCTTGCCCGTTCTTAGAGCAGCTCCCACCTGTTCCAGGACCAATGTGTCTCATTCCCAAGTGACAATTAGCTGTCTAGAAATTCACCACTTCTCTGTAACTTTAGGTTGTTTTGTTGTAAAGTTTTGCACCTGTCTTCTGTTGCACAGTGGGCTTTAAAAGTAACAACAACAAGCCCTTGCCTTTCCTCTTGTCTTTGGGGAATGTGAGCTGAAGGCCTTGGGTTCATTCTCACTGTTCCTTAGCCAGAAATTCTGTAGTGATCTGAAGCGATGTGACTGAAGCTCAGCTTTTAAATTATGTGTTGGCAAGTTGCCTTATATTTAAAAGAAGGAAAAAGAAAAAAAAAAAGGAAAAAACAATGCCTGAGTGTGTTATGCCAAATGATAGCAACATGAAGTCCTAATTTATTGTTTCCCTGCCGTCTGTGAACACTGGTATTATTGCCCTGTCCCCAAGCCCCCAAACCTCTGGTGCAGCCTCCTCACCCAGGGCCCCTCCATCAGCAGATTTTCTGTGTCATATTTAAAGAGCTCCAATATCTCCTGTGATGTCGTGCATAACCTCCGCTCTGATATTCTTGTAAACCCCCCCCCCCAGATTCTCCCGAGTGCGCTGCCACCATAGGAAACTCACCGGACACTAACTTGGGGGCTTTCACACCTCACTCCCACCTCCTATCTGCATGGAAAACACATTGTGGTTCCCTTTCCCTCTGAACTACTGCCCCAGCTTTGATGTAAGGTGTTTCCTAGTTCGACCTGATTATCCACCCCCCACCCCCACCCCCAGCCAGCAATAAGGGTCCAGGCCAGGGCCTCACCTCTGCTCCGTGCCACCCGAAGGGAGTACCTGGGTCCCCTTTCCGCTCACACTGTAGCACTTGTTCCCCACCGCTCACCCCACCTGTGGTGGTTATGGGTGTGGTGCATTTTTCTTTTTTAATTATAAACCAGTAAAACAGAAAACCTCCTCTTGACCTTGTCCTATTTTAATGTGGTGAATGCCTGAGGTGGTTTTTGTCTTGAGGTCAGCCTGTGAAGTTCCCCTGAGTAAAAGGGGAATAGTTTGTTTCTGTGGTGGTGGCAATATCCTATTCATCCCTCAGAAACGCTCCCCAGTTGATCATCCCACACTGAATCCGTCCTTAGGTTATACCCGTACACACGGACAGTTTAGTCAAGCCCTCAGTGGAGGCCCATAGAGCCCTGCCGCACTTCCACTCCAAGGGCCGTTGGTCCTAAGAGGTGGGCATCTGTTTTGCCATACAATCAGTTTCCACCAAACTGTAAAATTATTTCTTCTGACAGAGGTGTGAGGGAGTTCTGCTGTAATCTAAACAAGGAAGCACCTCACTCTCGTTCACATTGCTCCATAGGCAGAATTCTTTTATGGGGATGGAGTTTGACTTGGTGTGGGGATCAGGGAAAGCTAATCAGTAGGTGGGAAAACACATGGACTTCGGAGTACCTTTCACGTGGTTTGCCTTCGGGCAAATGTTCCGCAAAGAAAGCCAGGCTGCCCACTGTCAGAGCTATCGAGGCAGGCTGGTGCTCAGGGCGTCCACTTCACGCCCTGGTGTAGACCCTGGTCTGAACCCCATGACAGCTTTCTGTCATGCAGTTAGTTGTCTTAGAACGTTTCTGAAATGCTGGAACAGTACTTTGGCCGTGTCTCTGCTAAAACCCAAGGTTCTCTCTATAGTTTCCAGGCTGTGTCTAGCAAGATGTCATGAGGGACCACTGGGCCCTAGCTTAGTGAAAATACTAGCCTAGGGGGGAGTTAACCAGCCTTCCTGTCTTCTCTCTTGGCTTCCCTCTGCAGAACAGCCTTATCCTCCTGTCTAGGCCCTAAGAGTAAGGCTCTTCATTGGCTCCTGTCATGATCAGATTCCAAAACCAGTAGTTGCAAAATTTATTTTACCAGTAAGGGCAGATAACCCAAGTAACTCGGCAAAAGCATGCCCAGATTGGAGCTGTATGCCCCTGGTCATGAATCCAGGCAGCGGACATGTAGTTGAGTAGTTTGGGGGGTTGGGGCAGAAGGACATAGAATCCCAGACCCTACCCCAAGACTAGCTGAAGGAGTCAATTTGCTTTTGCTCTTAGTTGACCAGTGAAATGTATATAGTTGGCAGCAACCATTCCAAACTGTACAAAAAGTAAATGAGATCACAGGTAAAATTCAAGTGCTTGGTCCAGCTCAAAGGCCCTTGTTGCTCCTGGAGTAGACTAACATTAAGTTCTTAATGTCGGGCACATGCAGCCTCATTAACTCTTCATGAAGGCCCATTTATTCTCACGGTAAAAGCTGTTTCACTTAACTCTCAAGCACAAGAAAGGCCCCAGAAAGCCAGGCAGTAGTGGTGTGCGCCTTTAATCCCAGCACTTGGAAGGCAGAGGCAGATGGGTCTCATCTACAGGGAAGTTCCAGGACAGCTAGGACTACACAGAGAAACCTGGTTTCAACAAAAAACAAAAAGATGGGTCTCCCTGGTGGAAGTACTTACACAAATACAAGAACTTGAGTTTGTATTCCCAGCACCTATGTAAAAGAACTGGACACAACTACTCACACCTGTAACACCCTAGTGCTGGGTCAGTCAAGATCTTTGGAGCTCATTGGCCAACTAGTCTTGTGGAATCAGAGCGCTGGGGCTTTTGATCCTGACTCAAAGAGGTGGCAAGTAACTGAGTAAGACACTGAACATGGACCTTTGGCCTGCACGTGTGTATACACATGGTGAATACTGGGAAAGACACAACACCTGCCTAAGCAGAACGCTTGTCTTTGCTGAGGTAGTGACTAGAAACGCCAGCCTTAGAAGCCGTCCCTGCATCCACCCATTGAACCACCAGAGGGCAGCTGCAGGCTGCATGCCCACAGAACGCTCGGTGCCAATTCCCATGTTGTCCACCAGAGGTCCAGCTGCGAACAGAGCAGCAGTTACCCCTTCCTTATGTGGAGCCCAGCCTCCCAGAACCCTAGCCAACTGGGAGGAGACAGGCTGGAATCAAGTTAATAAATACAATCCAGGATTTATTAAAAATCAGAGTTCCCCTGCTGTGCCCTCCTAGCACTGAAGAAATAAATAACCAGAGAGGGCGGCATTGGGTAAGTGGAAAGAGAAATTCATCTCAAGGCAGATTCTTATAACTACCCCTCCCTTTTCCAATACCCCCCACCCCCACTATGGCTCTTGGGACATAGCACCTGAGCAGGCCCCTCAGTCCAGGTAGAATGTGGCTGGCACCAAGGCATGTCTGCCCTGCCCAGGAGGGGAGACAGGCCCTGGGATCACTTGTTTCCAGCCCTTGATAACCCCGAGACCTGCTCCCCCCAGGGGCCAGGGCTGAAGCACCAATTGGAGGCACCTGAAGGGTAAGGGTGGTGGTGGTAGTGGTGGTGGGGAGAAAGTGGTGGGCTAACAACCTAGGCAGAAGTAGCTGAGAGGGGGTCCGGCCCCCTCTCCCGTTTCCGCCAGTGGCTGAGATCCTGTCCCACCCCCCTTCCTGCTTAGACCCAGAAGGCTGTACTCTCAGCTGAGGATCTTCCGGGGCAGTTCGACAGAGGCACGGATGAAGACTGCATCATCCCGCACATAATTTCGCTTTCGGATGTCCTGGTGGGAGATGAATTTAGGGTAGCCAAAGCCCAGAGAACTCTCATCCAGGGAGCCTCGCCAAGTGCCGGGCTTTTGGAAGTTCTTCCAGTTTGGATCAGGGTGGAAGGTCTCAGTGACATGCTGTGGCTTGGCCAGACCTGGGTCGCTCTGATCCAACAGGGAGAAGGTGACCCGACGGGCAAAGGGCCACTCAAGGAGATTGTCAAAGGCGCCTGGTAACACACGAATATAGATGGAGAGATGCGTGCCCTCACCGCTGCCGTTGCCATTGAGGAATGCAGACACCTGCAGCTTGTAACCGTACTTATGTGTGTAAAAGGCCGGGCTGAAGCACTCCAGGTTAGGCTTGGCCTTGGCCTCTTGGAGACGGCGCCCATAGCTGCCGATCTTCCAGATGAGCACGCCATCACTGCCTATGGATAGCTCCTCCAGCTCTCTCCGCAGCTCCTGCAGCTCTTGCCGCTGCCGGCTCACCAGGGCACACATCATAGCCAGATGTGGCTTTACACTCTCCTCCACGTGACGTGCCATTGCCAGTTTAGGGCACTGTTGGCAAAACCCAAGGCCATGGGGGAAGGAAAAAGTTACCAAAAGAGGAAGGTCCAGGGGAGAGAAGAAGCAGGCAGGGGTAGCGGGCACCCAATTCCACAGGACGATGACAGAGGGTGCTGGGAAGCAGCAGGAGTTGGCTAGCGGGACCCATCAAGGCCTCAGCTGTGCCAGCAAATGGTCCTCTGTCTAGGACTTGAAGGGCTAAAGGGGGCCGAGAAAGGGGCATCTCACCCTGTGCTTACAGCCGGACTCCTTGAAAGGGCAGAGCACCAATGCAGTGCTGCAGCTATCCTTCAGGTGGCTGGGCAGGTCCTCCCGAGCCACGGTGCCCACACCACACTGGTTTGGGCAAGGAACAGGCAACCGTGGACACTGGTACTGATGGCTCTAGGACCAGAGACAGAAGCAGTGGTCAATAACCGGACTCTTGTTGCCCAGTCTCAAAGCACACAGGTCAATAAGGGCCTCACCTGAATGGTGTCAAAAACAAACTCCTTGGTACAGTAGGCACAAGGCTGGGTGCGCTTGGGGCACTCAGAAGTGGCATGCTGGGCCAACAGTCGCCTCATCATGCGGGCACCACACTTGTTCTCACAGTATACACTCTCCTGGGGGCACATGCCCTCGTGACTCTAAAAATAGCACAGGGGCTGAGTTAAGTAAGGGATTCCTGGGCTCCTAGGTGCCTCACCCTCCCTTCAGCCTGGACCCACCTACCTCGTAGGCCTCCCCACTGAAGTCACAGCCACAGAATTCACACTTGAGGCGGCGCTTAGGGCAGTCGTGCTGCAAGTGGGCAGGCAGATCACGCCGGCTCAGCTTGGCTGGGCAGCGATTGGGGCAGGGGACTACATTGAAGCTGCAAGTGTTCAAGTGGCCCTGATGGGAGAGACTCAGTCAGCACCGGCCCAGTGAGGGCTAGTCCCAGCTCCCCAGCCCAAGAGCCTCACCTGGAGGTGGCGAAGCGGCCCGCTCCAGCGGCAGCCCTCCTCACTATGGATGCAGCGGATAGGCAAACCTAACACTTGGACCTCCAGCTCTGGGTCTGGGTAGATCTGTGGGCACAGCATGGCGGGCGGGGAGATCAGCGAGGATCAGAGCATGCAGTAGTCACATTCACCCCAACTTTCAACTGAGCTGGTTGGGTCTATCAGCCAGTAATAAGCTCTTTAGCAAAGGATGAAGGACACAGGAGGTGGTATCTACTCGGACTTGGAACCCAGGGTCCCCAACATGCCTGCACAGGAACACGCTCTCTTCGGGGGGCACCCTATCACATTAGCCTGCTCAGGCACACCGCCCCCCTCCTTTGCTTCCTTCCTCTGAGTGGAGGGGTCCTGGCCCCCAGCCACAGGTCTAACTTGACACAGGAAGAGGGAGCATTTTTTACCGGCACAGAGCAGCTCTGTGCACCCCTACAGGCGGGGCATTGTGCCTGCCCCCCAGGGCAAAACACAGCCTTCGTTTGCAAACTGGCCTGGTGGGAGAGAACAGGCTACCTTTGTGGGGGCATGAGATCCTGAGGCTTGGGGTTGACACTGGCCCTGTGCCTGCTGGCTGCCAACACTCCAGCCTCCACCAAGGGCAACAGTCTATGTAACTATGTACCCAGACTTCCAACCTCGCAGTGTGGACTCACCTTGGCATAGTCCAGAGGAAGCTGGTCCTCAGGGCATTTGAAGACTCCTTCACTGAAAGGGGAGAAGGCAGGGAGGGTCAATGTTCCTCAAGCCCTAGGCCTCACTCCCTCCACCAGGGTCCCCACCCTCCCTTGCCAGGCCCCTTCCTAGCTAGCCACAGCTAAGACAAAGCGGAAAGCAGAGGTCAGAAGGACCGCTTTTCAAGGGCACTGGACTACCCACAAAGGCTATTCTACGGCCAGTGCGCACAGACACAGCTGCCTCAGGCAGCACTCACCCAACAGGTGGCAGCTGGCATCCCCCCCCCCACCGGCAACAGCAGCTGAACTTGAAAGAAACAGGCAGCCTGCCACCCCCTTCCCCCAAAATGGTTTTCACTGCCATTCTGAAAGCTGATGGGAGGGTATACAAGGATGGGCTTGGACAAATGCCAGGGCTACCCAGCCTCCATGACTGTGCCAGGCTTAGAACAAGGGCAAAGGTCATCTTGAGGCCACTCTACCTCTCATCTCCTCTCTGAGGGTGTGCTCCTAAAGTGAGGAAAGTGAGGCCTTTGGTCCTACTTCACTCACACCAGCCCTCACATCCCACCTGCCTTCATCACCTGAGGGCTAGAGTCCCTGCTCAGAAACGGAAAAAAAAACAAGGAAAAAACCCCAGCCTCCCTAGCGAAGCAGCACCTGGGGATGTCTGTCAGTTGCAACTATACAGTTCAGACAGGCTCTAAGGACAAGCAAGGCTTCTAAAACCTGGTGACCCCCAACCCGTGCCAGCTATCCTGTCCCCTTCCCCCCAGTCTCCACCCAGATATTAATACCCAGAACCTGGTAACATGCTTCTTCCTGCCAGTATGCCCTAGCTGACCCCAACAAGACCTGTCACACACGACTGTCACAGCCCAGGCAAGACAAGGGCTCCCACAGCAGGGCAGAGGCCCCTAGGCATGGCATTCCTGGAGGATCTGAGTCAGGTAGGCGGGAGGCAGGCAGGCAGGCAGGCCTCAAGGCGGAAGCTGAGGCTACCTGGCAGCCCTGTTGTGAAAGCACTTTCCAGAGCCTGGGCAGTCCATACCCCAGGTGCCCAGTCCACCCCCTAGCACCTTCTCTTGGCCCCACCACTACTGGCCATGCCCTTGATGCTCAGGCACCAAACAGGTATGCCTACAAGTACAGGGCTAGCAGCCTTTCTGGCTTCAGCAGGAGTGGGGAAGAGTGGACCAAGGGGGAGGGGGTCCACTTGGCTGCTTCAGGAATGTGCTGACCCAGTGATTTTGGAGACAAGGGGACTAAGGCGAGTCCCTAGGCTTCAGGCAGAGGCTTATCCCAAAGCTTGGGGCCCAGCCAGGACAAAGGTTTGGCCAAGGCTATGGACAACCTAAGTTGTAGGATAGGGGTGATGGGGGGGGGGGGGGTAGAGCCTGCTCAACCACCTCCAGTGGCAACGAAACACTCGATCTATGGGGGAGGGGAGAAGGCAGAGGCTGCTCCAGGCTGAGCAGTGGAGGCCCAAGCCCAGGGGAGAAGACAGGATGGGGGGAGGGGGCAGTGGGAGAGGAAGAGGGGATTTCCGGGAGGAGGAGGGGCAGAAGCAGCCTCGAGGGGACTAAGAAGGAGGTGAAGGAGGAGGGAAGTGAGCGTGACAGCCCCTCCTGGCTCCTTCCCCGAGGCAATAAGGGTGGGTCAGCTGGAGGAGGGGGCTGGCTCAGCTGGCCTCATCTGGAAACCAGAGGGCCAGGAAGGGAGCTGAGGAGACAATGGGCCCGTGTGTCTGTAGAGGAGTTAAGTGTGTACATTGCAGGGAGGAGGGAGGGAGAGAAGAGAGGAGGGGGGAGCACAGCAGCTTGAGCAGGAGCATATGTGAGAGCAGGAGCCCGCGGCTGCTAGGAACAAAAAACAAAGAGCCTGCTGAGATTTCCGCCAGCCAGGATCTTCGGAGGGCAGCGGGATGGGGCACTGAGGCTGAAGTCCCACACCAGTCCCTGCCAGTCCCCCTCGGACCGCGGCACCTCTCCAGGCGTCGAGGCTCCCCGATCTCCCCTCCCACGCCGCAGCCCTCAGCGGCAGGAGACTCAAGTCCGCACAGGGTGCCCAGAAATGTGACGGCTGCCAGAGGCGGCAAGGGTCCTGAGAGAGCAAGAGACATGCAGTACTAACCCGGGAACAAGTCCCCTTTCGCCAGTGTGCCCGACCATCCGTCATACTCAAGACCCCAAGGAGGGCTTCCAGTTGAGAGGCGGGGAGGGCTGCAGGTCACAGGCCAACCTCTGTTGAGTGACCACACACAGCCCGGGCTGGATTCCCAGCTAAGACCTCAACCGTGTGACCCTGGGCAAATCGCAGCCTTTCTTTCCGTCTCCGTGAAATGGGAGAACAATAGCAGCCGCTTTCTCAGCGTCAGAGAGAGTAAGAGGAGGGACGGGTGAAAACTCCCCAGGCTGGCAGCGCCGCGCGGGAGAGGCTTTGTCCTTCCCTTCCCTAAAGGATTCAAAGTTCAAGGCTGCGGCCGCCCGGGCTCAGGTGGGGGGGAAGGGCCGGCCACGGGTCTGGAAGGGCGTCTTTCCCACCTGGAGGAGGGCAGGTAGGACCCGGGCGACCTAACGCCTGGGTGCGTGGGGTCCTCCCCAGAGCCCTGACGTCACTGCCGCCCCTTGACATCATGGTGGGCGCTCCTGAGGTCACCGGGCGGCCGCGTAGACAAAGGCCCGACGTGTCTCCGGTCCGTGCCCTTCCCCGTGCAGTGCCCTCGCCCCCTGCACCGAGGCCCACCGCCCCCTGGGCTCGCACCTGAGGAACTCCTGCAGGCAGGTGTCGCAGAAGCGGTGGCCGCAAGTAGACACCTGCACAGGCTCGCGCATGGGCTTCCCGCACAGTGGGCACAGCAGCCGCCGCTTGGGCTTCTCCAGGAACTTGTAGTCGAAGCCGGGCATGGCGGGCTGGCGGCGGGCACGGGCGAGCGGGGCCGGGCACGCGGCGGCCCCACAGCCCGCGCCTTGCTCCGGCCGCGTTCCCCCGGCTGCGGGCGGCGCCGACTGGCGGCCGCGAGCGGCCCGGGTCCGCAACCCCGCCCGCCGGAAGAGGGGGCGGAGCCGCGTCCCCACGGTCCTAGAGCCCGCCCTCGCGCCCCGCCCACTCCACAACCCCACGGAATGCGGTCGCTCTCAGGACTCTGCCAGGCTTCGAAAGTTAAATCAGCCTCGCCCACCCCCGGAAGCTGGAGCTTCTCTTTCCCTTTGGAACTGAGAGCGTGGCTGAGATTCTTCCAGAAGTGGAGGCCCCTTGCGCAGTGATGGTGCCTGTCGGGTCGCACCATAACACTTGACTCTAGAGGCCACCTTAAGGTCTCCTGCACCACGCACCGCCCAGGGACCCGTGGCTCTAGCTTACAGGTGCTAGGCAGCGAAGCCTGGCAACAGGATCCGAGAAAACCCGGCTGGAGCAAGAAAACTGGGCTGGGCGCTGGGCCAGCGGAACCTTGGCCCCCGCCTCCAGCCTCTGACTGCGCCCACATTCCTCCTGGCCGCTGCCCTACAACCACAGTCGGGCCCAGCCCAATCTTGGGGTGTCTGGAGGCCACCTCCACCCCAGAAAAGACCATATGCCAAGCAGGCATTTGATATTTTTATTGGCGCTATTTTCTTTTTTTTTTTTTTTTTTTTTTTTTTTTTTGGTTTTTCGAGACAGGGTTTCTCTGCGGCTTTGGAGCCTGTCCTGGAACTAGCTCTTGTAGACCAGGCTGGTCTCGAACTCACAGAGATCCGCCTGCCTCTGCCTCCCGAGTGCTGGGATTAAAGGCGAGCGCCACCACCGCCCGGCTATTGGCGCTATTTTCAAACCTTTAAGAAACTGGTCGGGTCTGGCCCTGCTACCTTTTCCCCAGTCTAGGTCTGGGAAATGGCCTGGGGTGAGGGACAACCTTCAGCAGGATCCCCTTGGCAACCACTCAACAGCTCCAGCATTCCCTTCTTGGGGGGGGGGGGGGGACTCTCAGAAGTTGAGCAAACCTTTGCCCCAGGAAAGAGAAAAGGGGACCCCCTCCGACCTCAAGGTAGGCAGAGATTAGGTAGCCTAATGGCCAGTCCAAACAGGCCCTGGCTTGCCCTAGTCCAAAGCATGGCATCAGGACACCGCCAGAGACTTCTTCCTAACCGGGCTTGTGTGTGTATGTGTGTGTGTTTTAGCAAAGTCTTTGAAGACCGTCCTGCTGTTAATTCCTGCCAGCCTGGAGACACTGCATAAAAGATAAGGAGTTTGGGGGCAGAGGCTTGGCGCAGCAAAGTGGCCTTCGGTGGCCTTTCCACCTCACTGGTGACACTATCCAGGCCGCAGCAAACAGTCTCCTCAGACACCTGCATTTTTCAGAACACTCAGAGGTGGTCTCTCGATAATCCTGTTGCCTCAGGGGGGAACGGGCTCCTCCGCGACCGCTGGAGAGTATCAAAGAGAAGCTCCTGCAGCCTTGCTGGAGGCAGTGCCTACAGCAAGCATCACCCATCTTTGATCTCATTGAGCCCTGGAGCCAAAACCCTCCTGCCAGGCTAGAAGTGGACATTTAATATCAACTGGATCCAGGACGGATTAGAAGAAATAATTCAAGTGAGGCCAGTCCAGGCAGCTCCTGCTCCCCCCCCCCCCCCCCCCCCCCCCCGGGCTGGAAACTTGGTGTTTTACACATCCCTTTCCTAGTCCCCACTGGTTCTGCTTTCACTTTTCTGGGGGCAGAAGACTGCTCTGGGAAATTTGAGTTGTGATTACTAAGGATGGGGTAGGGAGTGGAGGAGAGCTGGGTCAGCCCCCCCATGGTCATACGGGGACACACACACACACACACACAGAGGACTCACATCTAACAGCCAGGAGAGTGTTCCCATGGCAGCAGGACACTGAAGTCACGACATAAGGATGAGTCTCATCCAGCTGCACTGGCTTAGGGAGTCCAGCATCCTCATCCCTCCTTCCCAGTCGACCGCGGGCTCCTTTGCCCCAAGAATACACTTCCCCCTCTGCCAAGAATTCAAAAGAGTGGGGCACAGTCTAAGCAAGCGGCGAAACACTGGACAGTAAAAAACCGTCTCCAGAGGGAAAGAACTGAACATAACCCAGCACATCCTGCCTTGTCCACCCTTACCCTGTGCACCCTCACCTGCACCAATGGCTACAGTGAAGGCATCCCCACAGGCCACCATCACCATCTTAATGCCCTCTAGGCCTTGGACCCGACAGGGCGCCCTGCTGATGCGGCGAGAACTGGTGCCCAATTGCCCATGCTGATTGCTGCCAAAAGTATAGCAGTCACCGGAGACTGTGGGGACAGGAAGAAAATAAAGAGCACTTGAACAGAAGTTGGTGGGACAGGCGAATCCCCCTTCGGTCTCCTGTGCCTGGGTCCCACTCACCAGTCACCGCAGCCGAATGAGCAGTGCCCAGGTCCACGCACAGTAGGAGCTCCCGGTCCAGAGGTGCAGAGCCCAGGGGTGTGAAGCTCAGGGCCTCCTCCACCTGCTGGTGGGGAAGAGGCTCCTCCTCCAGGGATAGGTGGTCCAAGCCTAGCTTGTTGAACCTAAAGATGGAGTCAGAATCTAGAGGTTTGTATAGGCTGCCTTTTGCCCATGAGTCTGGAAGGGGGGGGGGGGTTGCTAGGACCTGTCCCATCCGGAGATAGATTCTACCCTGAGTTGAAACAAATAGTTTCATTCCTCTTTAGTTCTGACCCCTTGAAGGAGGGAGACAATAAGGAATGAAACACTTTGTAGCCAAGTATTGTAGGAAGGCGGGCCTATCACTTTGATGCCTCTACTTACCTGTTACTTCCACAGGCCAAGACCGTGCCAGGCAAGGTGAGGATCATGGAAGAGTCAATACCACAAACAACTCTCTGAGCTTCCTGTCCTAGGGGCACAGGCACCTGCTGGGGGCAGCTATGGGACTCCCTGGTGCCTAGTCCCAGCCTCCCTACAAAAAAAGAAAAAGAAGAAAGGGTTGGTTAGTTTGAACTTTAGGGATAGTAATGCAACGATGAAAGGGGGGTGAATGAGGGCTGTTCTCAGCCTGAAATGCTTTCCTTAGGCCCTGCTGCTGGTTAAAATCCTTTAAACCTTCCCATCCACAGCAGCTGGGTATGATGGAGCACACCTCGAATCAATCACAGCACTCGGGATGCTGACGCTGGACGGCTGCTGCAAATAGGCGGCAAGCCTGGACCACAGTGCATTCCAGACTAGCTGAGCTGCATAAGGAAGATTCTATCGGGGGCTGGAGAGATGGCTCAGAGGTTAAGAGCACTGGCTGCTCTTCCAGAGGTCCTGAGTTCAATTCCCAGCAACCACATGGTGGCTCACAACCATCCGTAAGGAGATCTGGTGCCCTCTTCTGGGCTGCAGGGATACATGCTGGCAGAACACTGCGTACATAATAAATAAATAAATAATTTTTAAAAAAAAATAGGAAGGTTCTATCTCAAAAAGCAAGCAGGCCAGAGAGATGGTTCAGTGGTTAAGAAGACTGTCTGCTCTTCCGGAGGACCCAGGTTCAAGTCCCAGCACCCATGTGACAGCTCACAACTGTCTGTGACTCCAGTTCCAGGAGATCCTCACACAGACAAAAACATGCAGGGAAAATACCAATGCACATAAAAAATATATTATTTGAAAAGAAAGTTTTAAAAATCCTACCTTCAAAAGGCTGAAGCAGCAAGCTGTAGGCAAGACTGTCTCACAAAAAGGAAAAACCCTGTCCAAATGCCACCTGCCTCCCCAGGTTGGCACTGCCTCCTTTCATCACACTCCAGTGTGACTCTTTGCCACAGCCCTGGGGTCCTCTATCATCCCTCCCCCTCCTGCCTCCAACACACACACTTTACACTTGAGACAGAAACCCACCTATGACATCACCGCTTTCAGTACCTAGCCAGGTGGACTGTGGGTATAGGTCATTGATAGAGCATTTATTTACTTACTACTATGTGCAAAGTTTGATTCCCAGCATTGCAAAAATAAATAAATAAATAAAAATAAATACTGTCAGGAGAACAAAATTTCCCCTATGTCGTAAGCCTGAATGAATGCATATTTTTGTTTTGTTTGTTTTTGAGACTGGGTTTCAGTCAGGCGGTGGTGGTGCACACCTTTAATCCTGGCACTCAGGAGGCAGAGGCAGGTGGATCTCTGTGAGTTCCAGGACAGCCAGGGCTTCAGAGGGAATCCCTGTCTCCAGGAAAAAGAAGATACAGGGTTTCACTATGTAGCCCTGGCTAACCTGGAACTTGCTATGTAGACCAGGCTAGCCTTGAGTTCTGGGATTAAAAGCCTGCACCTCCACATCTGGCAGCATCTTGTTCATCTTATCAGTTCAAACCTAACAAAGTGCGAATACATAGTAGGTGTGATAATAATAGAGCTGGAGAGATGGCTCAGTGGTTAAGAGGACTGTCTGCTCTTCCAGGGGTCCTGAGTTCAATTCCCAGCCACATGGTGGCTCACAACCATCAGTAATGAGATCTGGTGTCCTTTTCTGGCCTGTAGGCACACATGCAGACAGAACACTGTATGTGTAACAAATAAATCTTTTTATTTTTCAAGACAGGGTTTCTCTGTGTAACAATTCTAGCTGTCCTGAAACTCGCTTTGGCAGAGATCCACCTGCCTCTGCCTCCCAAGTGTTGGGATTAAAGGTGTGAGCCACCACCACTTGGCAATAAATAAATCCTCGAGAAAAAAAAATAATGGTTTGTCCAATGAATGAATAGAACTCAAGAAAAAACAGGAAGAGAAGAATGGGCCATGGAGAGGAAGATGGGCATGAGGAGAAAGAAGCCATGACAGAGAAAGCTGTGAGAGGGAGCCTCAAGGCTGGAGCTGGAGAGTGGGCTTACCACCATCTCCTCGGCCCCAGGCAAATAGTTCTCCATCAGTGGACAGGGCCAGCACATGAGAGGCCCCACAGGCCACCTGTACCATCTCATAGCCCAGCAGGGCTTCCACAATGGTGGGCTAGAGAGAGGGAAGAGAGCAGGGTGATTGAGGCATGTCAGACTAGTCCCCTTCCCTGCAAGCGGGAAGTTAGAAGCTGCAAATTCTCGGAAG